GACCGTCTACTCTCCCCTGCTCTTCTGCCACGCCTTGCTACTCTCGCCTCCCGCCTCCCGCACTTTCTCTTTTTTCCCTCCTCCCCTTGCTTCTGCTCGCCTCTCTCCTCCCAACGCTTCTCATTCTTCCGCCGCTCTCTTTCCACCCTTCTCCTCTTCGCGCTCTCCTTCTTACCCCCTCCCCCCCGCCTCCCTTTCCGCTCTCTCCTCTCTCCTTCCCCACGCCCTTTCTCTAACCGCCACGCATCCCCACCCCTTCTCCCTCTTTCCTTCCCGCGATAAATTATTCTAAATTCAAATATGCTAAAATTCGCCCATCATGCAATTCAAAACCGATTCCATCTTCGCGGTACGAAAGGTGCACGGGAAGAAACGGATGAGAGGGGAAGAGACAGGGAGAGAGAGAGAGACAGCGATAGAATGGGAATTGTGTGTGTGGGAATAAAAGGATAAAGTAGAATTGTATCTTTATTTACTTTGTAGATGAATAAATGAAACGGTAAATAAATGTACTTAGAGATATAAATGAAGAAATAAGCATGTGTGGTGTGCGTGTGTACACACACACACACACACACACACAACACACACACACATACACACAAACACAACACACACACATACACACACACACAGAACACACACACACATGATATATTATATAGTATATATAGAGAGAGAGAGAGAGCGAGAGAGAGAGAGAGAGAGAGAGAGAGAGAGGAGTTAGAGAGAGGAGAGAGAGAGAGAGCAGAGAGACATGCATATATATATATATATATATTATATAATATATATATATATATATATTATATATATATTATAATATATGTAGTATGTATTTGTTGATGATTGTGTGTGTGTGTGATGTGTGTGTGTTGTGTGTGTGTGTGTGTGTGTGTGTGTGTGTGTGGTGGTGTGTTTGTGTGTGTGTGTTGTGTGGTGTGTGTGGGTGTGTGTGGTGTGGGTGTTTTGTGTGTGTGTGTGTGTGAGTGTGTGTGTGTGTGTGTTTGTGTGTGTGTGTTGTGTGTGTGTGTGTGTGTTGTGTTTGTTCTTTGTGTGTGTGTGTGTGTGGTGTGTGTCTGTCTGTGTGTCTGTTGTGTGTGTGTGTGTGCGTGTGTGTGTCTGTCTGGTGTATCTTTGTGTGTGTGTGGGTGTGTGCGTGTGTGTCTGTCTGTGTATCTTTGGTGTGTGTGTGTGTCGTGCGTGTGTGTCTGTACATCTCGATAAACAGACAGGAAAAAAGAGACAGAAAAACAAAGAAACAGAGAGCGACACCAGGAAGAAACAACTAAGAAGAGAGAGAGAGAGAGACAGACAAGACAGACAGACAGAGACGAGAGAGAGAGAGAGAGAGAGAGAGAAGAGAGAGAGAAGAGAGAGAGAGAGAGAGAGAGAGAGAGAGAGAGGAGAGAGAGCAGACAGACAAACAGACAGACGAGAGTGAGAGAGGAGAGTAGAGCAGAGGAGCGTGAGGGGTGGCGGGGGGAGTGAGAGATTTCGCAGCAACGCGCATGAATCCATTGATGCGGGAGTGCCTTATGGGCATTTTGTTTGATGGAATTGGCACTCCCTGCTCCGCGCTGGCACTCTCTCCATCTTGCCTTCCTCTTCCGTGCTTCGCTCTTTAACGGCTTTCCCTCGCTCTCTCGCCCTATTCTGTTCTTCGTCTCTGTCTGTCTTGTTTGTTGGTCTTTAAAGTCTTTCATCCTGTCTGGTTCTGCAGTCCTCTCTCTCTCCCTCTCCTTTGCTCTACCTCTCTCTCGGCGATTGTCTCTGCATCATCTCTCTACTTCTCTCATCTTCGTCTATTCGTCTCTCTCCTGTGGCACTCTCTCTCCCCTCCTCTCTCTCTCTTCCCTCTCTCTTCTCTCTTCCTCTCTGCTCTCTCTTCTCGTGCTCTCTTCTCTCCACTTCTCTTTTCTGTCCTCTTCACTATATATATGTATATATATGATATATTATATATATTAGGTATATTTATATATATATAATATATATTATCATATATATATATATATAAAGAGAGAGAGAGAAGAGAGTATAGGGGTATATAATGCATAATGTTGGAAAATAACATCTTAACATGGAGGCGCATATTCCCCTCTAAAACAAAACCGGCAGGCAGACTGACAGATAAGCAGACAGAGAGAGAAGAAAGAATTCAGACGGAGAGAGATGGAGGCAGAAGCAATAGGGAGAGAGAAAAGAGTAGGGAGGAGAGGGAGAGAGGAGAGAGAGAGAGTAGGCGGAAGACTAGAGAGAGAGAGAAGAGGGAGAGGGGAGAGAGAGAGAGGAGAGAGAGAGAGAGAGAGAGAGAGAGAGAGTGAGAGAGAGAGAAGAGAGAGAGAGAGAGAGAGAGAGAGAGAGGAGAGAGAGAGAGAGAGAGAGAGAGAGAGAGAAGAGAGAGAGAGAGAGAGAGAGAGAAAGAGAGAGGAGGGAGAGAGAGAGAGAGAGAGAGAGAGAGAGAGAGAAGAGAGAGAGAGAGAGAGAGAGAGAACGAGAGAGAGAGAGGAGAGGAGAGAGAGAGAGAGAGAGAGAACGAGAGCGACAGAGAGAGGACAGAGGAGAGAGAGAGAGAGAGAGAGAGAGAGTGGGAAGAGAGAGAGAGAGCGCGAGGGAGAGAGAGAAGAGAGGAGAATGAGAAAGAGAAAGAAGAGAGAGAGAAAGGGAGAGAGAGAGAAAAAAGAAAAGAGAAGAGAGATGAGAGAGAGAGAGAGGAGAGAGAGAGAGAGAGAGAGAGAGAGAGAGAGAGTAGAGAGAGAGGAGAGGGAGAAAGAAACAAATCTAAAAAACG